AATGAAAGTCTGTGGAAGACCATACGGCAGTCTATAGAGAAGCCCTATGTTTAACAGTATAGTGAGAGCAAATTGGGGGAAAGGGATTGTTAGTAATATGGTCTAACTGCCCCTTTGCTAGCTATACCCTATCAGGTCGACATTCATGCGGTACCTCTAGAAACCAACGTGATTAACAATTGTTATATTCGTCGTGATAGACAAGCTGACCTTTCATTTTTACATCATCACTCACAGGTATCCTGTTACTGCTGGAGTCAATATTTGATTATCAACCATTAAAAAAAAAGGTGAGAGTGAACAATTAACAGTTGATGATGATAGTAGTGATGGAATATAATTTATTAGAGATTCTGTCATACAGGTAATCACTCATGTAGCAAGATGACGTCTGCGACTCAAAGACGTCAGTTTTGTCAGACAAATTTTTCTTTATTCAACTTAGAATGGCAACAAGCTAACGGCCCACCTGATGGAAAGTGGTCAGACAAAATGACGTCAATTTTAAATAATATTACGCTTGGTGTCTGAAAATCGACGTCAATCTGACGAATAATTGCTACCTGGGCAGTTGTTATGAAACTTTGTATATTATTTCCTAGCGCATGTAGGTGTGAAGACGTGACCTTTTCTATAGAAAAGGTATATATATAACTCTAATTTTAACAACGTAATTACAAGCTTTTATTGACCAGTCAACTGTGATATTTTTTAATTAACCACATACTTACTTTACCAGAGGGAGACTTTGTACAAAAGTCGTTTGCTTGGATACCTCTGTCCCATTTGTGTTTCAACCGTAAAGCAGTTGTGTTTGCATGGCTGTGTTTCGGTTTGAAGGGTGGGATATGGCGTGAATTTACAGGGTACAGAGGAATAACACCTGAGTCCTCAGGAATGACAACGCACGGGGGTGTATCATGGGCGAAACAGTATACTCTGTTATGTTTAATAGTACTGCTCATGTCTATAGGCGACAGTTACTACTTCATTAGGTGGGCCGTCAGCTTGTTTGCCATTCTAAGTTGTATAAAAAAAATACAGTTCGTAAAATACTCTTGTAATAGTGTAATACCCATGATAATTAGAATAAAGAATTTGTGTTTTTGGTTTGAGTGATAAAGTACCGTGTAAATAACTAAATTATTGCTATTTAAAACAGTCATAAAATAAGGAATTTATCATCATATCAGCCGTTATCAGTCCACTGCTGAAGATAGGCCTCCCTGATAGATTACCATAAGGAACGGTCCTCAGCTACCTGCATTCACTGACACTCTGTAATACGTTTGAGTTCGTCACTTCATTTACTTGTATTTGTCCTACATTTCATTTTTCCGTGCGGGGTTGTCAATCCAGAACTTTTCTTTTTTTTTTTTTACAACACAGGGGGCAAACGAGCATGCGGCTCACCTGATGGTAAGTGATCTTAATTAAATTCTTCTCTTAATTAAATTAATTAGTCAAAAAATTTAATTTTCGATAGTATTTTTTGTTTTCTATATATAAACGTATCAGTACTGAAGAACTTTTCTAAATGGACCCGTGTTTGATATTCTGGGTTATATTCCAGATCTTTGTTGCTTGGTTTCCCATAATACAGGGTAAGCAATTGGTGCGAATGTGTGATACTTAATATTATTATTGGAAGCATTAAATTTTTTTTATCATTTTTGCACCTACGTTTCTATTATCTATGCCTCTAGAAGGGTCTGGTCTGTTCAAGAATACTGTGATTGATTGTAACTTGGTAGCTATATTTTTTTTCTTTTTACAAATACAAAGTTTGTGATAGTCATTTTATCTATTCATATTTTTTTTTGTAAACTAACTTATATTTGAAAAAAAAAGGAACAGCTGTGTTTCTTGTCTATTCTTCTCAGTCAGTAATTTCATTTCAAAACTGCATGGTGGTTTCATAAAAAAAATACTTTTAAAAAATGCTTATTATTAAGTTTACTTCAATAAAAATTATTTATTATTATTATAATGAAAATATTCAGTTCCACTTCCTCCTAAGGGTTCCTAACGATTTCGATTCCATTTGTATACATTATATCATTCTGATGATGATTGCGGTAAGTAAATAATTACACAACTGTAGGTACAAATAGGTAACATTATAAATAATAGAGCTATGAGGAAAAGATACACAAGTTATTTTTAAGACGATCAATAAATAGGAGATACCGCTGGAGGGTGCTTCAATCACAGACAAATTACATCAAACAGTTTTTTTTTTTACGAGATGAATATAGTAATCAGGGGGAAAGGGATTGTTAGCAATGGAGTTTGACAGCCCCATTGTTGGCAATATGCCCTATAAGGTCGACCTCCACGTGGTTCCCCCTGGATACCATCGTGAACAATTCTTATTGAATTCGTCACGATGGGCTAAATGATCTGCTTCATCCTCACCTATCATCCTTCACTGGTGCCCCGCCGGTGTATACCGATAGCGCGGATAGGGTTACCATTCCATTATCACCCATAAAAAAAGATATATATATATATATATAGTAATCATGCCTCCCTTTACCACTATCGGTACATGCTGGCGGGGTAGCTGTGAGGGATGATATCTGAGAATAAGTGAGAGAATATATACAATAATAAGATCAGTTGGCCGATTGTGATGAATTCAATAGGAATTAACCAAAACGCTTTTAAGGGGGATCGCGTGGATGTCGATCTAACTATATTGTTAATAACGGAACTGCGTGTCTCCATAAAACAATCCCCTCACAGATGATATGAATATCCTATATTGCGATAGCTCAGGTAGGTATCAATCAATAAAATCTTTTGTAGTAATATTTATAGACGTTAGTGTGTAGTAACATAATATAAATAGTATGTAATCATGTATATTAATACCATATACTGTTACTACTCGTGTGAGGGAGGTGCCCTCTAGTTTAAAGACTGTACAATTTATATAACGTATGTATGCAATGTACACAAATCGTATGACTGCCTACTTTTATTTTCGAATATAAATTTAATTCACATGAAAAGGTTTACTGAAAGAAGTCTCTTATTAAAGATAAGATCGCCTTTATAGATTACATTTAAAATTAATTATTTCTTTCATAAATGTTAAAGAATAAAGAATGAAATGTAACAAATTATAATCATTTTTTTCTATAAAAAAAAGACACTTTAATTGCTTTAATCGTCATAAAATTTATATGGAACGATGACAGGAATAATTAATTTTAACGAATGCCAGAAAAAAAGAATTATCTATTCAGATTTGGGAAAGATACAGCGTAAAAAGTGAAAGATGCACAAATTAAACGGAATCTCCTTCTTTTTGAAGTTACTCGAAACCTATAATATATTCTTTATTGCACTTGTAAATTACATGTATATTACATTTATAAATGTTGTGAGCAAGGGTGGACTTATCTCTGACAGAGATCTCTTCCAGTCAACCCGATACAGTTAGAAAGCACGTCCTTAGCAGCTGAAGTGCTACAACTATACCTATATTGGGGGGAAAGGGATTGTTAGTAATGGAGACTGAGAATCCCATTGCTAGCAATATGCCCAACCAGGTCGACCTCCTCGCGGTTCTCCCTGGATACTATCATGGTTAATTTCTGATGAATTTATCATGATGGGCTAACTGACCTGTTTTCATTCTCATCCATCACCCTTCACTGGTGCTCCGCCAGCGTAACCCGTTAGCGCAGGCGGGGTTACCATAGCATTTTCACCCATAAAAAAAACTATACCTATACAACTAAACTTACTTACATGTGATATAATGACCAGAATGAGAACTTTTCGATAAACAAAGCAATCATTGAAAATATTATTGTCAAATGGCGAAGATATTGCATACCTATACCTTACTTCACCAATTGCGATTCAGTTTTGTTGATTCTTTTTACAATTTACTCCTGTGAAAGTATTATACGTATGTTATCTGTGACTATTTTTGTTAACACTGAACACAGTTTTTTTTTTTTTAAATCTTAGATTATTTGAAGTAGATTTAAACTGCAAATGCGAAGGGTCAAGTCAATGCGACATAGGTATAAGATTCAACCCCACCGCATTGCACCATCGCCTATTAAAGTTCATTCCCCTAAGCGAGGGTGTCTGTCTGTCTGTGCGCTATCACCGCTGTACGCATTTTAATGGATTGACTGTGACTGTATACCAAATACTATGGGTATTGAATGAAACTAGATAGGTAGATATAGAAGATGTCAAATTTCCATTTAAGAATGCTATAAATATACTAGTATGTCTATATCAATAAAATCCAGATATATAAATAATGACTTATGACGGATGTAAAAGTGAGTTGGTTTTATTTTTAATTTTGGCTAAACCAATCGTCATAAAATTTGATATATTACATATATCGATTGGCCGGGGTAGCAAGTACTTTTTATCACGGCCAATCGATATATCCCGGTTACATAGACAAAGTCATAGGAAAAAAGTAGTTAGTTGCATAATTCGAATTTTAGATCCAATTTTTTTATACCACAAAGGTGGCAAACAAACATACGCCACGTTTGATGTTAAACAGTCAATATAGCCTATGGATACCTGCAACACTAGCGATGTTTTGAGCGCTTTGCCAACCCTGAAAAAAACTTAATACACCCTTTTCGAAGAACCAATTACTGCAGTCTCTAGAGAAAACCTTGGCTCATTCCACAGCCTGAGCTTTTGGCAGTTATTCAGTTCAACTGTTAATGCATTTCTTTCATACAATTTAGAATAGCTAGTAAGTCTTATTAGGTTTAGACGGTATAGTAGTAACCGTTAGCTATAGATGGATGTAAACATCAAAGAAAGAAGAAGAAATAATTTTATAGTCTTTAGAAAAAATAATATACGGGACGTCACAGTGTATTCTGTAACATCTTTTATATTTATATCTATAGGCGAGGGTTACTACTTTATATATGAATATAAAAATACTTATATAATTTGTAAAATTAAATAAATTAATTTCAATTATTGTCTCACTCCAGGACGTGGCCTTCATAAACCCAGCGAACGTGGTGTTCGTCTACATGCTGGTCCGGGAGCTGGTGGACGGCGAGCGCATCGCGCGCCCTCAAGACCTCCAGGCTGTTGTTCTGACCTGCCTCTACCTCTCCTACTCATACATGGGCAACGAGATCTCATATCCTCTAAAACCTTTCTTAGTCGAGGACTCTAAAGACAAATTCTGGGACCGATGTCTGCTGATCGTCGACCGATTATCCTTCAATATGCTCAGGATCAACTCCGAGCCAGGTTTCTTCACTGAAGTGTTCACGGAGTTAAAGGCATGCGGCACGGTGGAGAGTCCCCCGCCGGCGCCTCCTCACCCCGCTCCCGCGCCCCCTCACGCCCTCACCGCCGCCTGACATACAGAGGTGGCTGTGCTGAGGTTAGCACTTACCGATCGCCCCAGCCGGGTGTGATGTCGGCTCTTCAATACTCAAAGTCTTGGTCAGTCGTCCTCTATTTAGGAAAATGTTAACGTACGTGATGCGCGTGGTGTACATTCCCATGCTTCAGTCAACAAAAAAAGAGCCCTATACACGTTTTATTTTTTAATTGGGCTACATATTTTATAAGTTTTTTTTTCTGTTCTAAGGATATTAGTGTTTGATATTATTAATAATTAAGTTTTATTTCATAGGAGTAATGTGACAAAAAAAAAGTGCTTTGTCAGTAGATGCCTAGGTCATATAAATGGGTGAAATTTTAATAAAGTCCTTGAGTCATGATATTATGGTAACGAGTGAATATTTTTGTAATGAATCTCATTCACATTACAAATTCGTGATTTTCATTTAATACAAGTTAATTTTATATAATTACATAAGGTATAGGTTTACACAATTTAATTAGATACTTATTAAATTTTATTTGTAATTCTAATTCAATTTTACGGTCGCCAATTACGTCGAGTATTCACTAAGTGCATTCCTGTGTGAACAAACGAGCGATTTTATTACATTACAGAGGAATCAGTCAACATGTAAGATGCTCATATAACATGTTATTAATTATTTTACATATTTACCTAGATACAATATAAAATTAGGTAAATTTGTTATATGAAATACAAAGTAAGACAGAGCATGTTAAAAGCTTACTCGAACATGTCTATCACAATACGTTACAAGCAACTTACAGATCAAATAAAAATAAATATATTTTTTCACACATTTTTGGGGGTGTTATTCATTAATGTTGTTGGTGCCAGTAATGTGAGTATGGTATTGTATTATTCGTGAGTAAGCATGAGCAATTTTTAACATTGCTCTCTGTGATTCTAAGTGAATTTCATGTTATTTTCATTAACGGTATCAAGGTGGATAATAAAAAGTTAATAGAATTGTTTTTTTAATGTTTAGTTTTGTCTAGTCATCGTAGAGTGGTAAAGCCTCCCTCTTCATTATTATAGACATTACTTTCTTATTATGTAAGAATCATGTGTGTCTTTATTTAGTTGTTAAATATGCTCGGTTTCCCTCCATTTGTTAATTTTTTTAACTGCATAATAATGCCGTATAAATCCACCTTTATACTCAACAGTCTTCGTTGAGTTGTTAAGATCTTGGAACGTATTGTACTTACTTATCATCATTATTATATCAGCCTATATCTGTCCACTGCTGATCATAAATGATAAGAGGGTGGGGGAGTTTGATAGTTGTTTGGGTTAGTTAAGGTTTTGATAGTTGTTGCCACGCTTGGCAGATGGGTTGACAACTGCAGCTTTGGTGATGTTGAGAGGGGCGCTGCTGCCTATCCGTCGACCTTTAAGTTCCCTTAGTAACCTCTTACGACACCCACAGGAAAGGAAGGGGTGGCCCATTCTATGCCGGGACGACATGGCAACCTACAGATGTGGGATAAAAAGTAGGTATTCATGGGCACGGCATAGATAGTCACTATTGATGTATGCAAATAGAGCTTCGATTAAGTAAACGGTAATGATTGTAGTTGTACTTCCCAAGGATTAGATATCATATGATTCTGCTGTGTATTTGTAAAGATATTACTTGCTCAAAAAATTCAATTACACACTCATCTATGACCTAATTGACGATTGACCAAAACTTTATAAAAAAAAAAATGTTATATACCTAATAGGGAGGCGAGTACAAGTACCAATAAAAGGCAAAATAGTTCTGCGATCACGACGTAAATCAGACGTCTTCGTTATTATTAGATAGAAAGTGATTAATTGGAAAAAAAAACCATTTGAATTAAAAAGAAAATAATTGTACTTAATAGATTTCAGACGACAGTCATCCATAGACAAAGTTATATAGCATAATTCGATATCTAAAATTTTTAGCCAAATTGGCTGAGAATATAACTCGATACCTCTCGCCGTTTGTGGTTGAGTTGACATGGCTTAGATAAAGTGCAACATTTACACCGTGGTATGGGCATACCACGTTAAATTAGTTAATGGTGCACTTTTGTGTTTGTAGGTAATTGTCTGGTAATGTTACTTTCTTACATTGCTGTCAGTGGTATATTAGTCCAATAGTACAGCGGTTAGTTGGTAAGTTAAGAATTTCTTAAAAATGTAGTGAAATGAACGTATTGCCATATAGTTAGATGATATTAGTAAAAATCTGGCAGGCAGGCGGGAGGATGCAATAAAACAAAATGATCAGCTATATTTACTCTGGTAAAACCTTCAATGAAGTGTACGTATTTTAGTGTGAAGACTCGAGGTGGGCTAAAAGCGCAGGATAATTTAATTCGAGGCAATGAAGAACTTATTAAATAACAAATAGGTCAAATTTTGCGAATGATTAAGCGTTTTGTACAGTAATGTCGAATAAAATAATACCTACATTTTAAGTCTATAGCATAGTTTAGAAAAATGGATTGCAGGCACTCGGTCTGTCGGGAACCATACAAAATCAATGGCCTTAGAATATTACAAACACTATAAAATTCAGTACTTATTTCAAGATAAAATTTATAATTATTGTGACTTTAAAAACCTTGTAGTAGTCAAATATTAAATTTGTAGTTTGTCAATATTTCACTTTTTCATGCTAAGGATTTGATTAGATACTAAATTTGAAAAATCAAATTTAGGTAATCTTATTTTCAAATAGCTAATTGAAACAACATTGCCATTAATTTATACAATTGTCAATTTATATCAGCTGCCTGTGACAATAGATTTACCTGCATTGTAATACAAAAACCAAGATAAAAAGACTACAAATATGTATTTACTTAATCACTAATAAATTACTTAAATGTAGAAGTTGCGTGGAAATAATTATACATGAAAACGGATATCAGTAAAAAATCGTACTGTTGAAAAAAAAAAGTTTTTATTATAGTAGGAATATTTGCCCATTATGAAAAATAGGATAAATTCTAGAGGACGCGAGTTATCTGGTGACTTCATTACGGAACTTTATTAAAGTACCTCTATGTTCCTAGGGAACGTAGTTTTTCTTTTAAAAGTCTCATGCCACTTAATGCAAGAATGTTATTTTGATGTAATGTTATATGTATTTTTAATATGTATAAATCACACCTGCCAACCATAATTTTGTAATATGTACTTATTTTAGTGTTTGCTCTATTTAATTTACAATTACTACTCTGATGGCGCTGAAAATCAGCAATCCCGCTAAAATTATAAATGTGAAAATTTGTAAAGATATTTGCATGTTTGACTTGATCGCATTTAAAAGGCTGAATGGATTTAAATGTAATTTGATACACTGGTAGAGCATATCCTAAAAATAGGGTATTGTTATCCTTATTCATGCGGGTATAGGCACGGGATACAGTTACTTTAAATCTATGAAAAACCCGTATCATGATATGCGTTCACACTAATCTCCGAAACCGCTCAATCAAGTTTATTGATATTTTGTAAATGTATTGATTGTTTCAACTTGAAAGATGGGCAGTTTCATTCACATAAGAAAAATGGACCTTGTAGGTGGTAGGGGGCAACACAACGTTTGCTAAGTCAGCTAGCCTACTATAAAATATTGTCTAGGCACCGTACCGAGTGCCTCTGTGCGTGGAGTTATTTAGTCAAGTGTGTGTCATGAGGGTGGTAAATTGTAAGTATCTATAATATAAAGAAATCTCATTAAACTGTTCCAAGTCATTAATGATTAGGTGAAAGTAGATGTCTGTGATGTATTGTACATTAGAATTTGTGTTTGTGATATATGTTCTGTTTTATATTTATTGATATTATTATTATTTTTTTCTGTGAAATGTTGTAATATTTATAGGTATAAATTTAAATGTGGTTAGAGTCACTATGGCAATAATTTCACTTCTTATAAGTTGATTTAGTTGATATTATATATATACACGATGTTGATGCCGTCTGTATCGAATACCTGCCAAGTAAGGATTGTACCTAACATTAATCGTGTTATTTGTGAATAATTCAATTATATAAGTGATTATTTTTCAATTTAAACCATAAAGTTTATTTTTTAAAATATTTTTTATTAAAAAATAATGTTTCGATTTTACATTCCTGTTACGTACTAAGTCGATATGTGGTGTAGGTATATGTAAGTACAAACTGTACCTACATCGATATTCTGTGTGTGAATGTGCATAACATTAACAAAGGTATTGCCGGTCAGATACCTAACTCTAACATTATCCATGTAACTCACGTTTGTTAATTAATCTATTGTAAATATACCCAATTATTAAAAAAAAAAAACTTTCGTATATATAAGTCTGTAGTTTTATTTATCAAAATACCTATTTTATGATACTTAAAATGGCAAAAAAGCTGATGGGTCACCTGATGGAAAGAGGTAAACGTCGCCGTGCATATCACATAATATACTGCAACGTCTATGGTATACCTCATGCATTGCTTTTCTCGAGGATTACAGTGTTATGCCTTCGTACCCTGCCATTTCATTGCCATATCTCAGCCATCAATGGTCGGTTTTAAACACAGCCATCTGCTTCAATCTACACAGATTTGCATGGGTACCTCTATATCATTTAAAAATTGTATGTATATACGATTATTACATTAATAACAAGAGGTAATGACGGTATTTCATTTGTCAATTTAGATTGATTATCGAATGTCATTAAAACCAATATATACTATAAGGATTATAGCACATAATATCTAGTAATGACGATAACAGCATAAGGGGTAAGTACTTATCGTGAATTTAGTTCTGTAATTTAACAATATTTATTACATTTAAACTGTTACCTTTAAACTGAGTAAGCATCTATTGACTTTTATCATTAAGTTAAAAATTAAAGATTGGCTTTACCTTTCATCAGGAGTAGCTGTAATTTATTTTTTACTCAAGTTAATAGAGAAATTAAAAGGTATTAATAATTCCATAAATAAGGACAACTAAATTTAATTTTATTAGTCAAATTAGTAATGAAATTAAATTATCTGATCATTAGAAATTGTTAAAAGAAAAATTGGATAGTTTTGTTGGACAATTTTTCCAATTTTTCTTTGTACAAAATTTTTATTAGGACTTCAATGAATATTTTAAAAATAAAAATTAGTGGATTTTGTCCAGCTATTCTTAATAATATATTTAGTGATTAATTTTTATTTATAAAGATCTAAGATATCTAAATATAAACGTTACAAAATATGTTTTTTATAAATTATCTATAGTCGAACTATTTATCTTTTTCGAATTGTGTAGATAAATCTTTAGTACCACTTTAGTACGTTATACTAAGTTTATGGTTGTATCCAAGATTGCACTTAATTGCCTGAAATTAAAAATTTCATGAGATTAGATAAGATTCTTAATTTAGTTTTGTTGTTTATAGTTTCAAAATGTATCCAGACATTTGAGTATAGACTAAGAACTTATAAGTCCTTTTACTACGGTCTTGAAGTAGTGTCTAGTCTAGTAGAAGAACTGTCAAAGTCAAAGCTGTCAATGTGGCAGTTGTCATAATTTAGCGCTTTTTAAACTTCACTCTTTTTTCGACAATTCTTTGCAAACTATAGCTATTAGTATTGAAGTTAATAATTCTTGGTATTCAGTTGCCAGTATTTACTGTCCTACCAATAGTACACCTAGTTTTACTAAAGCCAAATTTAAGTTCTTTTTGGAGTCTCTTCCTAAACCCACTATCATATCTGGAGATTTAAATGCACATCATACTATGTGGGGTTGTACCTCCACTAATACAAGAGGTAAAGACATTCTTGATTGTTTAGATGAATGTAATTTGGTACTATTAAATGATAAGCAAGTTACTACTGTTGGCTCTCATATTTGGAGACCCAATGGCCTTGATTTAACTATGGTATCCCCATCCATATCATTAAAATGCGAGTGGTCGGTTCATGATGATCCGTTAGGAAGTTATCACCTGCCGACTTTTACTAAAATAAACACAAAGAACTCTTCATCAACTCCGTCAGGTGAACAACATGCTCCTATAGATGAAGTTAATAAACTTTTGTTAAATCGTATAAACCTACGTCTCGTTAATTGGGATCTTTATTCTGAAACTGTTAATCGATTACTTTTGGATTTCGAGTATGATGTCAATGAACCCTTAAACAATTACAATAGGTTCTGTAAAATTATTTTGACAGCTGTGGAACGTTCCGTTCCACGTAGGAACTTATCAAATAGCGGTGCAAATACTTCAAAGAGGCACAAACATATTGCAGTACCTTGGTGGAATAACAGGTGTGCGACAGCTGTCAATGATAGTAAAGCGGCTTACCTTAGGTTTAAACAAAATCCAACTCTCGATAATTACATAAATTTTAAAAGAGTTCAAGCTGTTAAAAAGTTAGTAATTAAGCAAGTAAGACAACAGGGGTGGCAGGAATTTTGTTCCAAATTTAATAGATTAACACCAATTTCCACTGTTTGGCAAAATATGAGAAAACTAAATTCAAAACATCGTCAAAATCATTTTAAAGATATATCATGGGTCAATGATTTTTTACGCAAATATACTCCTGATTTTGTACACTCACCTTTTGATGACAAACAGTTTAATTCTGTTAATTCATGCCCAAAATTTCTCACTGACCCATTCTCAATTGATGAAATATCCAGTGCAGTAAAATCTAGAAAAGATACAGCTAGTGGCCTTGATCGCTTAACATACAATATGTTTCGATTGCTGAATAAAATAAACCTTACTAAACTCTTACAAATTTTTAACGATTTATGGAAGGACTGTATTATCCCACCAGAATGGAAAATGGATTGTTTGATTCCAGTAATTAAACCCGGTAAAGATCCTACAAATTTCGACTCCTATAGACCTATAACATTGACGTCCTGTGCAGGCAAATTATTCGAACAATTAATTAAACAGCGTTTAGAGTTCTTTATTGAAAGTAATAGTATATTACCATCGAATCAATTTGGTTTTCGCCGTGGATATTCAGCGCGCGAAAGTTTAGCGAACTTCTATGTCGACCTTAGTACTGCTTTGAATAACGATGAATATGTTCTATCTGTTTTTTTAGATGTCGTAGGAGCTTTTAACAATGTAAATTTAACAGTTCTATCTTCGATTTTATCCTCATTTCTTCCAATGAAACTTATCGAATGGATTTATAATTTTCTTAGTAATAGAGAAGTGTATGTTAAAGTAAATAGTAAATTAATAGGACCTAGGTTAAGCTCTAAAGGAGTATGTCAAGGTGGTATTCTAAGCCCGCTACTATATATTTTATATATCTATAAACTTAATTCAATTTTAGGAAACAGTGTGAACAACTTGCAATTTGCCGATGATTTATTAATTTATATAAAAGGAAAGAATATTATTGATATGCAATTAGTGTTAAATGAGTCATTAAAAAGACTTGAGAAATATTTTTCTCTTCTTTCCCTCGATATTAGTTTAACCAAAAGTAAAGTAGTTGTTTTTCATCAAGTTCATAAATATGTTCCATTAATGAATATTATATATAATAATCAAACTCTTCCAACAGACTGTAGCGTTAAATTTCTGGGGGTAATTTTTCATCAAAATTTAAAATGGGATCTATACGTTGATTGCTTAGTAGATCGTGCTTTAAGAGCCACTAATATAATAAGATCTGTAATTGGTCGTAACTGGGGAGCTGATCCTAAAATTATCCTTTTACTTTACAAATCTCTTGTTAGAAGTAATTTTGATTACGCTTTCTTTTGTTATGCCTCAGAACATAAATTAGTAGAAAAACTCGAAAAAATTCAAAATATGAATTTAAGACTTATTTTAGGTGCTATGTATACTTCTCCAATTATCTCAATGCAAGTAGAATGTAATTTGCCTCCTATCCTTCTTCGTTTCGAATACCTAAAACTCAAATTTCTCTTCAAAGTTTTTTCAGTTTCCAATAACCCACTCATACTCAAATTATTAAATTGCCCCATTTCTATGTTTTTGAATAAAACTATTGTCAATGATTTGAATTTACGAGATGAATATAACATCTATAGTAGTAAGATACTTCCTTGTTATAATGGCCTTTATGAGAGTAAGTTCTGTAAGATCAAAATTGTTATACGTAAAGACATAAAAGAAAAGCACGATATGTATGAGACTTTATCAGAATTTATTGACTACAGGCAGATATATACAGATGGTTCCAAAAATGCACTTAGCACTTCAGTGGCTTTTTACGATTTGTCAAATAGATTTGGTCACGGTTATAAAATTTCAACTTTGGCTAGTATTTACACAGCAGAAGCAAAAGCTATATTTTTAGCATTAGAATACATAGAAAAACAGGTACTATATTCGAAATGGATTATAATTACAGATAGTATGAGTGTTCTTATGGCATTAAAAAATAACACATTCATTTCATCATCAAACTACTTAATTCAAGAAATTCGTAATAAATATTATCATCTCTGTACTATATATGGAAAAGATATTATCTTCATCTGGACCCCTTCACATATTGGAGTGTTTGGGAATGAACAAGTAGACACTTTGGCTAAAATTATTAATTCAAGTGCTGCTCGTGTTCAAGATTTACCCCTTTGTTACTCAGATTGTAGTATTGGAATACATAAAATCGTTACAACTAAATGGGAGGAGCATTGGACTCAAATATTACAGACTAAAGGCAAATGGTACCGCAAAATTAATTGGCGTATTGGAAAACCGTGGTTCTGCAAAGGAAAGGACACAAACAGAAAATTTTACACCAATATTTGTAGATTACGAATCGGCCACGGACATTTCAACGAACACCTGCACCGAATGGGCATGATCGCTTCCCCATCATGCACATGGTGTAACTCAAATACAGCCCAATCTCTACATCACCTTTTTTTGATTGCTCTGAATTTGTCATTCAAAGACACATTATGTTTGACGAACTTAGGATTATCTTCAAAAAACCCGAAAATATCCCGCACTCAATCCCGCTTCTCTTAAGATTTCCTTCTTGTTTCAAAGCTATTTTCACTTATATTACTACAACATTCAAGGAGCTATAAGAATACTTTTATTGAATTGCAAGACAATGATTTTTTATAATTATTTATTTTTAATTTGATAAATCCACTGGTTTAAGAAAACTCAAGAAAAGATATTTATGAAAATGTACTTACCGGATTTGACAAATGAAATATTGAAGATTATGACAATAATTGAAGCGACATTAGAAAAATAAAATTCCAGACAAATTATCTTTTTGAAGACTAGGCAGCATGGTCTCCGACCTTAGCCTGTTCCAAACGGAACAAACGTACTAAAAAAAAAAATTAGCGCTTTTTATTACTTTAAATAAACTTTGTTTTGTTTACTTTTCCTTTTTAAGCTTTATTTTTATAGTTATTTCAATATTCAATAAGAATTTAATGAATTACCAACTAATAGTATTTTTCTTTTAACATAAAAAAACGTAACACTATATTAGGTTTATAATATACAACTAATTTTCTAACTACAATGAGTGATTTTCCTGATCCTGATGAAGAATATGAACTTATGTATGCTGATGAATTGGAATTACTTCGAGATATAAACGAATCTGACGGTAAGGTTTATACCAATTATTATTTTTCTAGCTTGCGTTTTTTTTTAATGCCGCATCTAACCTCTTCCTATTCTTTTATGTTTATATTTTTTTCTATTGTGCCTAGCTTTTATTTTAGTCCTTGTGTACTTTTAGGAACCAATTCCTGGTTAGTATTCTTATTGCCATTTCAGAATAGTTATGTTAGTTTTTAACAATTTTTAGTAACTTCAAGCAAGAGTTTAATCGCGAAATTCAATTCGACTGGGCAGGTTTTTTAAAACTACGCTATATCATCGTTTGGTAGGCGGGTTGGCAACTACAGTTAGGCTTTGTTGATGTTTTAATCTTGTAGATTATTATACTCATTCATAATAATATAAAAAATCAAACAAACTGATTTCATCTATTAATTTTTTCTTATTTCTTTGTGCTAAGTTCTCCATTTAAAAAAGTTACAAAACACTAATAGTTAATATAGATTTCTGGAAGGTTTTAGTTTCTATAAATAAGAAGGTGACTATTTTCGCAGCTTCATCCATCTTGAAAGTATTTTCTCACATTTCCATTGGAAATGACTAATAGTTATTATTATGTTTATCTAATCTGCAGATTCAAATGCTGTAAAAAGAAAGCAATTGCCAGCAAAAAGGAGCCTTGACTTTTCCAGCCCTGTTATAAATAAAACTCAAATAACACAAGGAAGCAATGATATTGTATCTTTTAATAATAGTCAACCTATAAGTCAAAGTTTACAGCCATTAGACGATTATTTAACACCAAAGAATGCATCAAATAAACGAACAGCTGATGATCTTTTTGGGGACATAAATGATATAGATTTTGAAGATATAGAATTGCCAAGTAAGAGACAGAAGACAGAAGAAGAGAATGATTTGGAACTAATAAACAGGATCTTAGAAAGTAGAAAGCTTAAACAAAGCCTATTAGAGCCATCTAGGGTAAAGAATGATTTTCAGCCAACATACTTATCAAAGGAGAATCTGTCACTGAATATACCAAGGTAATGTTTATTACATAGTTTGTTTTTCAACTGACATGTTTGTTACCTCATAACATTTATAAACTTGGGGAATCCTTTTTGTTATTTGAAAGGATATTATACTTTATTAAAATCAGTTCAGAAATAAAATTTTTAATCAAAATGCCATGATTGAATTCTGTGTTTTCTTGTTTTGTGGAAACAAATCTAGTTATTTTTTTTTACTTATTTTTGTTAAGGCTGAAGTTTACCTATGCTCTATTGTATTGTAGAATGATTTTGGTAAAAAGTTACTAAAGTCATAGATTAAAAATGACTAAAATATAATTTATAGGTATAATAAAAAGTTACCACGCTTAGCAGGGGGATTGGCAATTGCATTTAGGCTTTGACGATTGTTTAAAAAATAATATTTGTAATCTGTATATGATGATGAATTTAAGATACTATATGTGACTGCTCCTATTCATTCATATCAAATGGAATAGTGTCCCCTGCATAACAATAATGCAGCCTGCATTATTGTTATACACTGGTGGGCACCAGTAAGAGATGATAAGTGAAGAAGCAGGTCAGTGGGTCCATCATGACAAATTAAATTATAATTAACAAAAATGGTTTCTAGGAGGAACCTATTTTTAACCTATTTCTCATGAGGAATGGAGATTAACTAAATATACAACCTATATTGCTAGCAATCGTAACTAACTAAGCACAATATATCAATATAAGACAGGGCAGAAAATTTTGAAATGAAACCCTGTACCTGTGCCGTTGTGTTTATACTAGGTTAATATCCTCTTCTTCTTAGGGCAAATTCATGCCTAATAGTGGGATGTTAATGGGTTATTATGGATGAATGGTTAATCTGTTTTAACTTTATGTTTTTAAATGTTCCAGATGGCCATTCATGCCTCTTACAAATTCAGATGGTCAACGAATTTATGTAAAGTTAGAATCTGAGGAATCTTGGGATAGTTCATTGGGTATAACTGATCAGACATCATTGCACTCAACATTTGCAAAGGCATGGGAAGAGGCCCGTAGAGTTGTAAGTATTTGATTTTCCATAATAACAATTGTTATTTTACATTTATATACTGCTTACTTTTATCACTACATATTATAAAGCAAAGTCCCACACTGCATCCATCTGTATATTTTTATTAATTCAAAAACTACTGAAAGGATTTTCATGCAATTTTTATTTATCAACAGAGTGATTCCTAAGGAAGATAAGGATGTATAATTAATTAAGGTTAAATAAGTTATTTAGATGGATAACATATTTGTAAGAAATAAAATACATTAAAAATATTCCAAGTAGTGTGGTAATACATTTAAATCTAATCTATACTGGACGCAGCAAACTGATACAAAAACTGTAAATATATATGGTTTATCATGGCTATATATGTACTTATATATTGTAACAAGACTATGTAACCTTGTCCTCCAGTAGTTACCATGCTTGGTATGCATGTTGATAACTACAGTTAGGCTTTGGTGATGTTTTAAGAGGGATGCTGCTGTTCATCCCACAACCATTAAGTTCTGTTAATCACCTCTTACAATATCCACAGGAAAAGAAGGGGTGGGCCATTCTATGACAAGTCCACATGGCAAATATAATATTTTTTATTGCCCAGTAGGTATATAAGGATATAATTAAATTTTCCAGTTAGAAGAAAAGCAAAATCAGAAACCTGAAGAGGCAGAACAGCCCATACAGGTTTTAGAAACTGACGCCAATAATAATTTGCTGCTGGAGAAATATCGCCCGCAGTCATATTTGGATCTGCTATCTGAGGAACCAGTCAACAGGGCTTTGTTACATTGGCTTCACTTGTGGGATAAGGTGTGACTATATTTTTTTTATTTTTGCCAGTTTTATAGAGAATATTTGTGATTGTCAAATTAGTTTGTCAGGAATACATTGTATTGCCAGGTTAAATCAAAAGTCATGGCATTATTTTTTATGAACCTAAATATTTTACTCTATTGTCAAGATGTCAGAGATAGAAAATGTACATATACATCTTATGTTATATAATGTTTTGAATTAATATTTCACAATTAATGACATTGTACTAGATTTATGCTTTCAAAAAAATATGTAAAAGTTTTTTTTTATTCCAATTTACAGATAGTATTTAATAAAGAAGTGAAGACATCGGAACCACAGCAACGCAACAGTTTCAGCAAGCGTACTGGCCAGTTTCAATTGACGAATAAGTGGAAAGGCAAAAAAGAAGTAGAACCGGAGATTGATGAAGATGGAAGACCACACCATAAGGTGGCGCTGTTGTGTGGTCCACCTGGTGTCGGAAAGACCACTCTTGCGCATTTGCTGGCTAAAATATCTGGTAAGTTTTCTGATATTAGGTGCAAAATAGAGTTCTGTTTTAGTGACATTCTAGAAAATGGATGTTAAATAAATTAATTGTATTATTGGTATTATTTTCAAATACTTTGAAATATATACTTTAATGTTATTAAAATAACATTAAGTCATTAAACTAAATAAGATAAACAAAAAATGGTTATCTTGTTAAATATGTATTGTATTATTTTGAAAGCATGAAAGACACAATTTAAATGTTCAAGACACGTGGGATTTATGACCCATATTTTTTTGGTCCTTTAACCCGGATATAGTGATTCGCAGGTTTACTTTACATATGAAATCTTACAATCTCTCACTTTAGTACTATTTTCCTGTGTTCTCTCTTCGTTTTCCTTCGTCATTTTTTTCTGTTGTATGTATGCTGTTAAGTATGTGTATGTTATGTATATATTTAATTGTGTATATATTATATATGTATGTGTATGTATGTATGTATGTTATGTATATATTTAATTGTGTATATATTATATATGTATGTGTATATATGTATGTATGTATCTATATATGTTTGTATATGATAATATTTATATAATAGTGCGCCACCTACTCTTTGTCTTTTTCTCAATGTCCTCTACCCAAAGGTTGTCTGGAAGAGATTGCTTAGCGATAAGGCCGCCTTTTGTATCACTTCTCATTAATATTTACTGTATTTGTTATTTCTCTTTTTACTTGGTGCAATAAAGTGTAAATAAATAAATAAATAAATGTATTACAAAATTTTAAAGTGTTTGTTTGTATTAGGATACCGGCCAGTGGAACTTAACGCATCAGATGAACGTAGCGTGGAGGCGTTTCGCTCGGCGCTACAGGCCGCTACACTCATGCGGTCTGTACTCGACAAGGACAGGAGACCCAACTGTCTCATACTAGGTTAGAGAATAAACTTTAAAATTATTTTAATATCATTGATATTCGTATTTGGTATGCACATACACTGCGCAGATCTTATCCGCTATTGGTAAAATAACTGCAAAATTTGTCTGCTTGTTGGTCCCATTTGGGTTACTGCTACGAAGTAGCGATGTTTGACTGACTGTATTTAGATTTGAAAGATGAGATATGCTAATAAAATTACAGGACATGGAGATATAACACCTTAATTATCTGTCAATAGGCATCGGTCACCATTTTCCGCCAAGTGGACAGCCAACTTGTTTTTATTCTAAATTACATAGTAAATATACCTTTTTTCTAACCTAAATAAAGTTAGGATATGCAATTTTTAGATGTTAACACTTATTTAATGCATTGCTAATTGGATAATGCAATTCATGTATTACAGATGAAATAGATGGCGCTCCACTACCCACAGTAGAGTTACTAGTGAAATGGTGTACGGCAACAGTGGCTGAGGGAAAGAAGAAAGCGAAAACTCACCCCCTGCGTAGACCGGTTATAGCTATATGCAACGACTTGTATGCCACGTCGCTAAGGCCGCTCAGGTATATTCATATTAGGTATTTAAAAAAAATTTAGACGAGTCTCTTTGTACATGCGTGCGTTTGATTTTTAGATGAAAAAGATATAAAAAACAAATGGTCGCAGTACTTGCGGTGTTTCAGGATATTATTTTTTAAGTTATATATTTTTTAACAAGCTGACGACTCACCTGATGGAAAGTGGTAACCGTTGCCTATAGACATGAGCAGTACCATGGACATAACAGAGTATACTGTTTCGCCCATGATACCCCCCATGCGTTGCCATTATGTAGTAGTATGGGTTACATTTTAATGAACTTACTTTATTTGTCATTATTGAAAATTATTTCTACATCACCTGAGAGCCTTCTTGAGGGTGCTGCACCTCTAAATGAAAATATCTTTCAGGCAAATTAATAGATTATGTGATTAGTGTTAACTGTTCGGCACCAAATCTGCGAATTGCAGTGTAGCGAAACGTGCGTGGACGAAATGGCAGTCGGAGATTGATGGCTAATATGGAAGCTTGTAGAACTTTAACAATACTAGTCACTGTTCGAGTGTTGGCAGTCGCATATAAACTAATAGTAGTGGAATTAAACAAAATAATTCTAATCAAATAACCAAAACAACGATAATCTGGTCAGCTATTGTATTTATAGTAAATGAACATAAATTTAAAATATGATGTATGAGGCGTAGATAAATTGTATTGTACTGTACTGTCTACAAGGCGAAAGAGAAACAAGGTTGATCTCTATGTGGTTTTTTTTGACTTGAGTTCATCTTCATCGTGTCATCCTGCCGGTGCGTCGCTATTGTAAACCGTTAGTATAGATGGGTGCTTCATTGATCCATTTTTTTTTCGTTGGGTGAAAATGGTATGGTAACCCCGCCTACGCTAACGGTATACGCCTGCGGAGCACCAGTGAAGGGTGATAGATGAGAATGAAAACAGGCCAGCTAGCCCATCACGATGAATTCATTAGGAATTAACCATGACAGTTTCCAGGGGGAACCGCGAGGAGGTCGACCTGGTTGGGTATATTGCTAGCAATGGGATTCTCAGTCTCCATTCCTAACAATCCCTTCCCCCCTCATTGATCCATTGAAACTGTTTACAGGTCAGTGGCGCTCGTGATACAGGTAGGGGGCGCGACGAGCGAGCGCGTGGTGCGGCGGTTGTCGCGGATCGCGGCCGGGGAGCGCGTGGCGGCGGCGCCGCGGACACTCGCCGCGCTGGCGGCGCGCGCGGCCGGCGACCTGCGCGCCGCGCTGCACGTACTGGCGCTAGTCCGCGCCCGCGTCGGCGCCGCCGGGAGACAGGTACCTTAACATATAACTTAGTTACCAGAGGGCGACCTTGCACTACGAGTAGCTGGTACTCGCAAACAGTAACTTGTACAAGGAGAAAGTTCTCGATTTATCTGTGTTTTACCAGAGGGAGACTTTGTACAAAAGTCGATTGCTTGGATACCTCTGTCCCATTCGTGTTTCTACCGTGAAGCAGTTGTGTTTGCATGGCTGTGTTTCGGTTTAAATGGTGGGATATGGCAGTGAATTCACAGGGTACAGAGGAATAACACCTGAGTCCTCAGGAATGGCGACGCATGGGGGGTATCATGGGCGAAACAGTATGTGTGTGTACTGTTATGTCCATGGTACTGCTCATGTCTATAGGCGACGGTTGCCACTTTCCATCAGGTGGGTCGTCAGCTTGTTTGCCATTCTAAGTTGTATAAAAAAAATTAATAGTCGTCAACTTTTTGTTTGAAATTAGTTTTATGATTTTATTGTTAAAAGTTGTTACATTAGTACATATTATATTTTAATGTAATAACTACCGGTTTAGTTTACGTGTATTTTAGTCGAAAAAGCTCAACTAGTTTCGGGACCATCTAGGCCCCTTAGTCATGACCGAATTTAATGCGAGCGAGAGCTGTAGGCGTTCACGGCAAACCGCAAGTAATCGTAAGTTAAATTGGTAATTATTATATTAACATAAAAACTTTTACGATAACTATTTTCTTTCTAAAAGTTAACTATTTAAACCAATTGGTACGATTTCTTTGTAATTTAATATAATTCTACTCTCTTGAAATCACTTTCTAAACCGTCAATAGATTTATCACTACCATTTGTAAAAGACATAAAAATCTTTGATATTATTTGCAGCTCAAAATGGAAGACGTAGAAAACGCAGCAATAGGAACAAAAGATTGCCACAAAACACTAATGCAAGCCCTGCAAGCTGTGTTTACTGTGAACGATCAAAATCCAGATGAAATTATGAAGACTATTCAGGCAGCCGGAGAATATGATAGGTAATACTAGTTTTTACAGACGACTTTATCTGCATGACTGAAATATATTGCTTGATATTGTATATTGAATGATGATTGGTCGAGCGTAATGCGCCAAGAAATCAATTAAACTAACTCATATATAGGGAGACTTTGTACAAAAGTCGATTGCTTGGGTACCTCTGTCCCATTCGTGATTCTACCGTGAAGCAGTTGTGTTTGCATGGCTGTGTTTCGGTTTGAAGAGTGGGATATGGCGTGAATTTACTGGGTACAGAGGAATAACATCTGAGTCCTCAGGAATGGCAACGCATGGGGGGTATCATGGGCGAAACAGTATACTCTGTTATGTCCATGGTACTGCTCATGTCTATAGGCGACGTTTACCACTTTCCATCAGGTGGGCCGTCAGCTTGTTTGTCATTCTAAGTTATATAAAAAAAATATATATATATACATATTTGTCATGCCTGTCTCCCATTGGGGTAGACAGAAAGAATTGAACGTCAAGTGGGTTCACACACACAATTAATTTTTTCAAACTAACAGTTTCACATAATATTAACGGTAGCAAAATAAAATAGTTCTGTTTAAGTAACCATTCTGATTTTTTTAATGGGATGAAAAATGACGTAGTAACCCTACCTGCGCTATTAATATACGCTCGTGAGGTACTAGTGAATGATAATAAGTGAGAATGAATTCAAATTAGTTAGCTTATTGTGACGAATTCATCAGAAACTAAACATATTGGTGGTTTGCCATTGAAACCACGTGGAGGTCGACCTGAAAGGAAGGGTATATTGCCAGCAATAGGAGCGTCGCTTTTATTTATTGACTATCATCTTTCCCTGAAATTGTAATTATGGTATAGTAGATAGATAGTAGCAGTCTGTAATTCCTTATTCAGTAATTTAAGGAAATTTAATTCATTTTCCAGATTAGTGGATGGAATATTCGAGAATTACCTGTCCAGCCGTGTGGACGGGCGGCTTTTAGTGGCGTGCGAAACGATGTCGTGGCTGCGGTTGCACGACACAGTCAGCTCTTGGACTATGCGCACCCAGAATTATTCCTTGTACAGCCTCCTGCCGCTGTGTGTCGCTAGGTGCCATGCTGTGCTCGCGACTAGAACTCCGCTTAGGGTTAAGTTCCCTATGCAGGCGCAAGAGGTGAGTGTGATTTACAAGCTTTAGTATATAAAATTTTTCTGTTCAAAAATTTCTATTTAGTTTTTAACCTCTTTGCGTCCGTTGATGAAGAAATTTGCATACTTATATAAGTTCAGTGAAATATAATAATATATTACGGCATCGTCGAGCTGGTCTGATGATGAAGACGGAAGGTGTCCTTAGCAACTCCTAAAATATTCATGATGCATGAAAAACCCGTAGTGTTTCAATCCTGTAATTTATCTGAATAAAAACTAAACCTGTGTAGTGCCTAAAGTCTAATGTTGAAGCCTAAAGGTTATAAAAACATGTTAATAAAAATGTTTTTAAACAGACTTGTTTATACAATAAAATAAATACAAACACCACATCTCATGCTCGTTCCTTATGGCAGTCTATGAGGGAAGCTTATGTCCAACAGTGGATGAAGAATGACTAAAATTATGACTGTGTTTCATGGTAGTTTCTTATGGAAATGATCTTTAAACTGATATAGGCTAGTCCCATGTTCAGCATATATTCGGTATATTGAGACATTAGTCATACTCTTTGTTATGAAAAATCAGCCAAAACTCATCTGGGCGCATAACCCATAACATCCACATATGAACTAGTTTACTACAAATATTTTCCAAATTGATTTGAATGTGAATCGAATCTGGGATTTACGCGTATCACCGTAATTACAACTACGTTACAGAGATCGTCATTAAAAAAAAAAAAAACAGGAATTTGTACAGGTACCTATTTATATATAATTTATTTTGGTACATACCAGACATATGCTCCCTTAACACACGCAGTACGGTTATTAAATAATATTATAAACATAATTGATATATTTAGTAGTAGCCAGCCAAAGATATTGGAAGCGGCTCACAAATATCTGGAGTCGGGTTAAATACATTTATTATAACTTTGTATGTTAGCACACTAGATTTATAACACTGATTTGGTTTTTGCTGTTATAATGTTATAATTATTTTTAATGAATAAATATAAAATAAAATATTTATTGACCGTTATAAAGAGTAACTTATGTTTTTTCTCCATCCCAATTACTCTATGTTAAATTTAATAACAATTCGTTAAGCAGTTTTAATATCTCTAAATAGTATAAAGTGGCTGTCTATGTGTGTTCCTTCGCTTCCTTTTCCTCACGCAATGTATTTTGATACAACTATCATATATTTAGTTTTTTATTTTTTTTTATTTTACTAGTTAATATTACTATAATATATAAAAAAATGTGTATATCTCTACAGATGTACAGGAAAAGGCAAGAGTTGGAGTGTATACTGCAGTCAGTGTACGCGGGCTGTGCGCCCTCTGTCGCCCTCAGCAGGAACTCGTTACAACTGGATGTGTTACCGTTGTTGCCATATCTGCTGTCGCCCAAGTTGCGTTCAGCTAATGTACAAGTAAGTGTTAATTATTATGAACTAGTCTTTACATACGACTTTGTTCGCGTGATCGGAATTTATTGATTGGTCCGGATAAAAATAAGTCTATGTCATGTTGCCCTGTTTATCTCAAATAGCAGGTACTTGCCAGGTTTTGTGACTGTTTAGTGACTGTTTACATTAAACAGTAACAAACATACTGACTTTTACATTTATAGTATTAATAAGGATTTAAATAATGAAATTATGTATAGTAATTAGCTTAGGTGTTCTTTTTTAATTATTCGAACCTACCAATGTTTAGATAGGTCAAATAGACTCTATCCTATGTTACGTTACTATATCCATTGTTATTTGAATTCGTTTAGTTGTTTAATTGTAATTGACTAACAAACATTATCTTATAAAAATATCTTCTAAAACTTTTATATAAATATTTATATTATTATTGGAAATAGTTAAGAATGGCAAATTGCACTAATAAATGATGTAAAGTCGAAATAAGCTAATTTAATATCAGGTCTTCCCCATAGAAGTGATTTAAGTCCTTACAGAATGGAAATGTTTCTACAATGAAAATGCTTCAATTATAATTTTTAGACTTAATTACTATACTTACCACCATATCAGCCATTAATTGTTCGCTGCTGAACGTAAGCCTCCCCCTATGGGGGGGGGGGGAGGGCGCTTGCCATTAGTTGCCACATTTTCCAGGCAGGTTAGCAACCGCAGTTAGGCCTTGGAGATGTTTAAGAGGGATACTGCCGCCCATCCCTCGTCCATTTACTTTCCTTAGTCTCCCTCTTACACCCACGGGAAAGGAAGGGGTGGCCTATTCTATGCCGGGACCACACGGCAAATTAGTATACCTAATTCTGTTGAGAATAGAAGCATTTTCATAGTAGAAAGCTCTTTCAGTACCTCATATTTATTTCCATGTTCCATTTTTAGCATTGTATATATATATATATATTTTTATGCAACTTAGAATGGTAATGACTTATAATGTTTCGTCAACTTTTAATCTATTTATATCTTCGAACTAACCTAGTGCATGACCTTTATTTATTTTTTGTTTTATGGTTGAATAAAAATGACCTATTGTTTTACAGTTGTGCAGCGAGAGCGAGCGGCGATCGCTGACTAACTGCGCGGCAGCAATGTGTGACTACGGCCTGCAGCTGGTCCCACGTCGGCAGCCCGCCGGACTGTTCGCGCTCGAGCTAGAACCTGACGTCTATAAAATCGCCTTCTTTGGTAATTACTTCTATAATATGACCAACTTGTCTATGAGGAAGGAAAGAGATTGTTAGTGGGATTTAGCAGCCCTATTTATAGCAATATAGGGTAATTCAGGTCGATTTCCACGGAAGTCAAATCCTCTTGGAAGTCATCATAATTAATTCTTGTCGAATTCGTCATGATAGCCCAACTGACCTCTATTCATCCTTACTGGGGCCCCGCCAGCGTATATTGACAGCGCAGGTGGGGATTACCATTTAATTTACACCCATTAAACAAACGTGTCAATGAAGCACATCAATATAGAGGTAGGAATCGTTAGTAATGCGGATTTATATAAAAATATTAATAAATAACACTAAACATACTACATAGCGCTCTCTAGTCCCAATTTAAGCAGAGCCTGTACTATAGCTTTTTTTTTTATGGAGGATAATAAAATGATGACCCCGCCTGCGCTAACGATATATGCTAGCGGGGCACCAGTGATAAATGATAGGGATGAAAGGATACGTCAGTTAGCCCATCGTGATGAATACACCTGGAATTTAGAACGATGGTTTCCAGGGGAACCATGTGGAGGTCGACCTGATAGGGTATATTACTAGCAATGGGACTGGTAGTCTGCATTACTAACAATCCCCTTCTCCCCTTCTTTGATTCGGTTATTGGGATTTGTATGAAATTTGGTACTTGGGTAGCTTATATCCTAACATAGCACATAGGATATTTCATGTACTGATTCTCGTGGGCAAAACCACGGAATACACGTAATTTGATTATAAACCTATTGTGTTGAACTTTATCTCGCTTACACTGTTTAGTAATGTTAGTTATTTCACAGTTTATATTGAAAATTATTTTTGTGCAATTTTAACTAAAAAGTAGGTAATTCTTTCTTATTTTATGAAGATATTGTACAATCACTTATCATCCTCTCATTAGAAAACTGTAATTGTATTGTTAATGTAGATAGACATCAGTAATATATGACTGTTTGTAGGTAACGAAGAGCGAGCTCGGCCACCGCCTGCACTGCGGCAGGCTATAGCTAGGGAACAGCAGTTGGAAATGATCAGGCGGAATGAAGAAATGGTAATTATTTATTAGAAAAAATCCTTTTGCATGTGTTCAATCATATATCAGATACACATTTGGGAGGTTAAAAAGCTCAACTTGCTTGAATCATAATAGGATATTTTTTTCATAACCTGCGGAGTTTAATAGTACTCATTAACGGACTAGTATAGTGGTTTTCATCACTTTAGTGAGGAGGTACTATTTGATAAAATTGCCTTCTTATCATGTACCATCTAACTGTTTGGATATAAATAAATTGCTCTTCTATTTATTTTATAAATATACAATACAACAATACAATACAAGTACAAAAAATATCTTTTTTTTTTTATTTAAGAGTTTCCTCTTGTCGGTGCAACTAATTCATGCATTTTCGTCCAGCAAGTTCTATCCCAGGCCATATCCTTTATCTCCCTATACGACATGACACCTAGTGTTTCCTTTATCTGTCCCATGTAGTTAATCCTCGGTCTTCCTCTTCCTCTTTTACCCTCTATTTTTCCTTCTACTATGCTCTTAAATAAATCGTCATGTCGTATAAGGTGGCCCAGCATGTTGCCTCTTCTATTCTCTATTATTTTAATTAATGTTCTTTTCTCGTTCACTCTTTTCAGGACTTCCTCATTCGTTAGTTTATATACATGTTATTATTCACTGATATATAAATTGTCAATAATATGATTTAGGTCAAGATAAAAACTACATAATTTTATTGTTGAAATGTTCATGATATCTCTCATGTACATAAATATATACCTATCTTCTTTAAATATTAATTGCCTTTGCAAGACGGCTATATCTGTGGGTAAAGGTGTCCCTGACGGACTGACAGACTGACTTTCAGACAATCCCTATGAGGCTGGCATAGTCACTCCGGTGTACTAAAGCCTCAACAAAAATTTGATTAAAAAAAAATAATTGTCAATTTATTCAGTAAATAAAACATTTATTGTTCCGTTACTGTCCATGTGGTCCTGGTATAAAATAGGTTACCCTTTCGTTTTCTGTAGGTGTAGTAAGAGGCGACTAAAGGAACCTAATCGTAGAGGGGATGGGTAGCAATATCCCTCTTAATACATCTCTAAAGCTTAACTGCAGTAAGCAACCCTTCATGCATGGCAACTACTTATTGGTAAAACTCCCCTTATGGGGGAAGGCTCATGTTCAGCAGTGGACAGTTGATGGCGAAGCGTAGCCTTGTTTCGACTCATTTTCACTAATTTTTTTTGGATGGCTTCTTGCACCACTTTGGATGCCTCCAAAGTCCGTGGACCATCGGTTAAGAACCACTGGGCTAGTATATTTACGTGTTTAGTATTTACAAAACAATTTCTGTTATGATTCGTGTAATGTCTTTTACTGTAGATGACAAAAGGAAGCGGTAAAGAAAACACTAAAGAAGGCAAATTGAAGAGTGATAAAGAAAAAAGCAAGGAATTTATGGAGGCACGCGTTCCGAATCATTTGCAGAGATTACAACCCAAAATACTAGAGAAAAAATCACAACAGGTATGTTTTTGTATTTATTACTGGCTTTTAATGTCGACTTCGTCCGCGTGACCGAGATATAAACATATCATTGACCGAGGAAAAAATAGCTTTTAACCGCCTCCAAGGTCACATATATCTGTACACCAAATTTCAGTATACTCGATTCAGCGGTTTAGACATGAAAGCGAACAAACTAACATACTTAATTTCTCATTTATAATAATAGTTAAGGATACTGGCAAAAAATAAAGTTCGAATTTTAAATCAGTGATACAATGTCAAACTTCATGAAACAACAGTATCATTTTGATTAATTTAATGGATTTTACCAGAGGGAAAATTTGTACAAAAGTCGTTTGCTTGGTTACCTCTGTCCCATCTATATTTCGACCGTGAAGCAATTGTGTTTGCATGGCTGTGTTTCGGTTTGAATGGTGGTATATGATAGTGAATTTACAGCGTACAGTGGAATAACACCTTAATCTTCAGGAATGGCAACGCATGGGAGGAATCATGGGCGAAACAGTATATTTTGTTATGTCCATGGTACTGCTCATTTCTATAGGCGACGGTTGCTACTTTTCATCAGGTGGGCCGTCAGCTTGTTTGCCATTCTAAGTTGCATAAAAAAAATGGTAGAGGTATGAAAATCATTAATGACTATCAAATACGTAAGATTTCTTGGTTATATTGTTTTATTATGGTATTTATTGAATTTAAACATCTGAATGATATTTTTGAGTGGTAATTTCTTATTTTAGGCATTTTTTTATTGTAATGTTCACATTTACATGATACATGTCATGTGATGTAACAAATGTGAAAAAAAAACTGTAATAATAATAATAATAAACGTCATTGCACCAATAAACTATTTAGTACATTTATTTTGTTCTATTTTTTCAATAATATATAACCATCAACAATTTTTGTTACATTATTTTGAATGAATGAATGAATAAAATTCATTGCTAAAAATGTGGTGATCTATAATAAGGTGATATGGTAAAATTACAATAGTCGATTTCACACATTTTATCATTACTGACATGCAACAGTCATTACAAAAGTTATTACAAAACAATTTTTTATAAAAAAATTAATTCTATAACCATATTTATATAATTCGGAAATTCATATCTACTTATACCTAAATATTATTTTGAAGAAGCCCTTAACAGTTTGGCGTACGAGACAACGCTCCTGTTGTGTTATTTGACATAAAAACAACCTTTAAAAATAAGGGGAATAAAAAAAAGAACACAATTCATTTATTGATCAAAACAGCATAATTAAATAGACACTATATTGATTCTACTTCAGTCTGATTTATTAATAGGGTCCTTAAATACGTATCGTTTCATTTATTCAACTCTCTTGAATTAATGTAATGAATATTCAAATATTATTAGACAATGATTAGACATGATTACTCATTAATAAAATGTTAGAGCGACAGTGAGCACAGCCAAAGCTCTAGTTACCACGTGAATATTCGAGAGGAGCGCGGGGAGTAGATTGCGGTTCACTCGCTTGATGGAATATGTTAGTGTTGTGCCGATGTGATGTTCATATAGATATCGAACATTGTCACCTGAAGTTCTTTAGCTTTAATTTTTTTTTTAGAATAGAATAGATTATATTTATTGCCAGAAATATACAATATATATGTGTATGTTTATGTATTTTGTGTGTATTGTATGGATGAAAAATTATTAATTCACTCTTGCATTCTCTATTGCACACTCCACCCATTTTTATCTATTCTCCTTTAACCAAAGATTGTCTATAAGAGATTGCCCTAGCGATAAGACCGCCATTTGTATGTATATTTCAATCTGTATTTATGTTACTGTATTTCACTTGAATTGTTCAATTGTCATTGTATATTTTTATTTATGGTGCAATAAAGAGTTAAATAAATGAATAATACAATTACAATAAAAAATACAGAAATATTATATATATAACATTTGTCTCATATTAGGCAAAACGAACTGGCTCAGCTGATGCTGTGAGTGTCCCATTGCAATGTGTGCAGCTGCACAGCGCTCGTTTTTAGTCAGTCAGTTTTATTAATGACAAATTTTAATTCTCTTTATGGATTTATTCTTTGATTTTTTTTTTTTATGAATGAAAAATTCGATTCTCTTTTTGTATTATGTTTATTTGATGTTTTAATTTTTTCCATTAAGTTGAAAAAAAGATATTATCCAAGTGGCCGCCGGCAGACTTGATAACCGTACGAACCCGAGTTATGGCATTTTCAGTCACTCTTGGCGTTTGCAAAAGTTATAGTATTTTCCAATGGGGTGACAAGTTTCAATAGCAGTTTTAGGTGACGACACGAAAGTGAACTTTAATTACAAAGGAATGAATTTTTTTTTATACAACTTAGAATGGCAAACAAGCTGACGGCCCACCTCATGGAAAGTGGTAATCGTTGCCTATAGACATGAGCAGTACCATGGACATAAGAGAGCAGACTGTTTCGCCCATGATACCCCCCATGCGTTGCCATTCCTGAGGATTCAGGTGTTATTCCTCTGTACCTAGTAAATTCACGCCATATCCCATCCCTTAAACCGAAACAACCATGCAAACACAACTGCTTCACGGTAGAAACACGAATGGGACAGAGGTACCCAAGCAATGACTTTTGTACAAAGTCTCCCTCTGGTTCCCTCGATTCATTTTTGCTATCTCGTGTTCCCATCACTAATCGATTAGTTTGATCTTCTATAATAATTTTGAAATTTCAATGGATTATGAATCTGTATATTATTATGAACTTATTAATATTGGTATAGAACAATTAAGTCTTAGAAGAGATTTTGCCTCACTTTGTGTACACTGTGCTCAGAGGAATTGTTCAATGTGATGCCCACGGCCACCTTCTACCATCGTAAGGCTCGCTATCAATAGGGAGTTCACCCTCATACTTTAGAGCCTAGATGATCGTATACAGCGCAGTTTTACAGATGTTTCCTTCCACGATCGCTTAGGTTATGGAATGAGCTCCCTGTCGATGTTTTTCCAAGTGACGACAACATAGGGTTCTTCAAAAAAGAGATAAAGAAGTTTCTTTAAGGTTGGCAACTTGCGCGTAATACTCCATCAGGTGGGCCGTACGCTTGATTGCCACTTCAGTGGTATAAAAAAAAATATGATATTTGTTTTCAGTGTATATAAATATTTTTTTTTTAAAAACAAAATAATCTTCATTGAACACGAAAATGAATGTATGTACTGCGTTATTTGATGCAAACGAGTCAGCTTTATTCAAGATTCTCATTTTGGCCTGTTTAGTTCTCAAACGCGACACATTCTATACGCGTTGCAGTCTGCGAATCTCTCTAATTAAAACTATGTTTGCTTAATCTGCATCGCGTATTGTACGAGCATGAAAGCGCTCTGGAGCATCTTGTCATAGACTAAAACGATTGAATAAAAATAAACAGACGCGACAGTCATAAAAAATTGGGACTTTTACTGAAGTTAAATAATTATATCGAAACATGAGTGTCTCAGGGTTTTTGTACGTAATATATTGCAAGTTTTATGATAATTATGATCGCCATATTCATTTTACGCTAGTATTTATCCGTGAATTTTGCGTGATTCTATCGGGAAGAACATTAAGAGGTAACAAACAAATAAACAAACTTACTTTTACATTTACAATTAGTAAAAAGTGTTTATTTTATTTAATTTGTAACATATATAAACTATTAACCTGTTTAACCTATTTCACAAGGGTGATATATTATGACAGATATTGCTGGTAAATAAATAACTTCGAAATCACTTTAATGGAACAATATAAGCTCCGTTTCTTTTATATTATAGTGAAAATGAATAATTTTCGTAATATTTTACTCAGTTGTAGCGATCATGTCTTTTCAATTATTGCCTCTTTACCTTACTTCTTGTAACTCTAATTTTTGGTCTACATATTTATGTAATTATATCTTTCTTTGTGTAGAACAGTAAAGAGTTTTCATTTATTCAATCGCCGCGTTACATGACATAGAATGAACTCTCCTTCCTGTCCCGTGCTTGTCATAAATGGCAACTGTCCCTATTAAACCATCACTAAAAGCCATACTACGGTTGCCAACTCACCAGCTAAGCGTGGCGACTACTGGCAAAACTCCCCTTTTAGAGAAGGCTTATGTTCAGCAGTGGACATTTAGCAGCTGATATGATGATAATAATGATTTATTCAATCAACCATGTCTCTCAGAGACATCATAATCGTGTAGGTATTTTATGTGTGACCACATAATCTATGGGTAAACGTGGTAAATAGAGGTAACACGGAGTCACGTAATCACGGCAATCTCCCGCCGAGAGCGCGCACAAAAAGATATAATTAACCCGTACCCGCCGTGTTCGCACTTGTCACGTCATTCTAACCACCGTACTATTCACTATTGTTATATACATATACAGGGTGAGGTCTAAATCATTAGCATCCCTTTACGGCAATGTCCTGAAAGTTAAACTGAATATTTTTCTCAAATAAATATGCTTCAATTTGTAATAACTAGTAAAAAATTGTCTATGGAAGTGAATTGCATCTTCGCCTTTATTTTCATGCATATTACGCATTATTTTCAATTGAAGCAGTTGATTTTTTTCCTTAGAGCAAAAAGTTATTTGTTCAGAAGCCACTATTCTAAGTTCTAAATTCAAATATTTTTAATCTAATTATTTCATTGTGATTATTTCTTGTAATTATTTATATTTATAATAAGTATACTATTGTAATCTTTTGGAGGAAACAATAAAGAGTATCTATCTATCTATCTGTCTAATTACGTATACGTTTAAGATATGTATATCATGGTTCGTTTATATTTTTTCTTTTTTTAATTTTAAAATCGTTATTCAACGTTGCAAAATTGACTTGTTTAAAATGATAAGCCGTAATATTCCCCTTTCCCATTATTGGAAGGCTCCGTCAAAAAAACCTTATAAATTATTAGAGGAAAAGTTTTTTCTTAAAACCACCA